AAATGTGTGAATGTTCAAGAGCCTTATAAAAAACTGTGTGGTGTTTGAATATAAACTATGCATATCCTCCTATTTACTTTAAATTATTCCTAGATTACCTGTAACACCTAAAACAAAGCAAATGCTATACCAATAATTCTTATATTATACCATTTAGGGAATAATTACAAGAAAAATGTATACATATACAGAATAGATGTAATTTTTTCAAGTATTTTCTATCTATAGTTGTGTGAATCCACAGATATGGAACCCACCTGTGGATATAAGGGGCATGTAACTGAACTTCTTTTTGGAAATTGAAAGGCTACATGGGGATTGTCATTCATTCGTTTACTCAATCATTTGTTCATTCAATAAAATAGGCATAATTTCAAGGAGTACTATCACCTGACTTCTGAACTGAAAATCACTGTTTACCAAAACAAAACAAAATTAAAAAGTTCTTTAAAAACCCACAAGGGTTGGGGTTGTGGCAGAGCACTTGTCTCACACATGTGAGGCACTGGGTTAGATCCTCAGCACCACATAAAAATAAATAAACAAAATAAAGAAATACCCAACCATACTTTGAAAAAGAAAAGCAACCCTTCAAGATGTCTTCCTTATTAAATTTAATTAGAAGTATGACATATACTCCTTTCTCTTACCCAGTATAAATGAACCATGTGAATTGTCATATATAAATGATCACTTTAACATTTGAAAGACCCTTACAGACTTAGTCTTTAGGGAAAAAAAAATAACATTCTGATGCTCATCAAGGGATCATGAAGAATTTAAAACCATTGGAACAATCTTTTGAAATGACCGGGATAGAGACTGCTGAGCTGGCATCCAGTAAACACCTGTTGAGTAAAGAGAGAGCATCTGACATCTGACACTCTTACAGTCAAATGAACAGACATTCAAAGTTGTCTGTAAAGCTGACTCCTTGAGAGGTCAAAAGATGTCATAATAGGTCTTAAGATATTACGTAGCTTCTTCAGGCTTTTCTAGGTTTACTTAATACTAGAACTTTCAATACTCCTCTTTTAGTTAGCATCATCTCTCATCTCTGACTAATTGAACCAATATTATTGAATACCTCTTTTTTTTTTTTTTTTTTGGCCATGCTGTGCATGAGGTATCCATGGGTTAGGGCAGGAGGCAGTGGGACACAAAGGTCTTACATTTTGATAAAATTCACTGTGCTTTGGCACTCCTGAGTATTTTAAGTCCAACAGTAGGAAAGCAGCAATGTGGCGTGGCAAAAGGAGCACAGTTTTTAAATCCATAAACTGAGTTCACATCATGGCTCTTCCAATTCATGGTTCTGTGATGTATAGATAGAAAGCATTTTGGAGTTACCCATAATGCCTATGAAGTTTCCAATCTAGGACCTGGCATGTAAGACCTCAATAAATATAACCATTATTACTTTAAAATATGGTAACCTTGGAAACATATTTGATATTGTGGAATATTTTTAAAACTCTCATGAAAAATTTAAGTATACCTTTCAGTTATTTCAGGGATGAATGACAACTGCTTGGAAGAAATAAGAAGTTATCTGAAATAATATAAAAATCATCTTTAAAGCTCATAGCAAACATGAGAATGTTGGCTTGCCAACAATTTTACTTTTGTCATAGAAAAAGCATGTAACAGAACCCATATATATATATATATATATATGTCAATTTTTGGCTAGTAAAAGAAGTAACCATCTTATATCCCACTATAAATGTAGCTTTACAGACAATGAAGCTTCCCTTCCGAAGATACTTATCATATTCTAGAAATTATTAAAAAATAAGAAAGTAGAAAATGCATTGTTTACTCCCCACCTCCATTTCCTGCACCCACACACACATGCCAGAATGAATGAGCTTCCATTTTAATACTGAGAAAATGATTGTATTAAGAACGGATGAATGTGTTAGTTCTTCATCACTGTGACAAAGTGCCTGGGATAATCAACTTAAAAAGTGTAAAGGTTTATTTTGGCTCATGATTTCAGAGTTTTCACTCCATGATTCCTCAGCCCTGTTGCTTTTGGCCTATGATGAGGCAGAGCATCATGGCAGAATTCACTTGGTAGAAGAAACTGCCAATGTTATGGAGTCCAGAAGGAAAAAGAGAGAAAGGGGTTTGGGGTCCTAATTTCCCCAGCAAGGCACATACCCTCAACTGACTTAACCTCCTTCCACTAGACCCCACCTTCTACAGGTTTCACCATCTCCCAATATTACCATCAGCAAGGACCAAGCCATTAACACATGAACCCTTGGGGGACATTTTCAAATGACAGCAGTAGGCTTATACAATAATACTACATCAAAAATTATGGGAAATCTATCTTACAGACAGACAGATGATGATGATAGACAAAAGTGGGTAAAAGACTTTACGAAGTATGATCCATTTTCCTTCTACCAATCCCACCTTCATGTCCTTGAGGCAATAAAGAAAGAATACTTCTTTGTAATCTTGTGACCAAACACAGGTTGAACAATACTTGATGAAATGAATGAATGACAATCATTAGCTTAAATTATAGCTTAAATCTGGAATAACTATGAACACACACACACACACACACAAAACCCAGCAATTCTAAATTTTTACAGTTTAGGTAAATAATGACACTTTTCTACTTAAATTCAGGTAATGGTGACCTTACTGGGGAGTTCAGAAAATTTTGCTAATATAAAGTGTCTACATTTCAGGCCCAGAGATGTGCTGTTCTTGAGGACAGCCACTTTTCAGGAAAATTTAATTTACTTACCATTTCAATTAAAAAACAGTATTGTGCACTTATATCTGTTTTCATATTATTTAGTAAAAATTGTTGTGCTCATTCACCATTCCCTTTCTAATATGAGAAGTAACAGGCATGAAATATAAACTGTCCTTCACTGTTGTGCGTACACAATACATTTTTATATGAAAGCTATGTCACAAGTAGTATTACAATACCAGGAAATCTGATCTGTATTATAGATCAATGGATATGATGTTATGTTATAGTGAGACTGAGAATTAATTTATATCATTCAAGTTACCAGCTTAACTTGGGAAGCAGACAAATTCATATATCATATGTATTCAAGTCTATTCTCTGATTCCTTTGAGACATCGTGATGGTTTGGATATGAGGTGTCCCCAGAAAGCTCCTGTGTTAATATTGCAATAGTCAAAGGTATCTGATTAGGTTATGAGAACAGTAACCTAATCAGTCCATCCTCATTGGAATAGACTGACTGGGTGGTACCTCTGGGCAGGTGGGCATGACTGGAGAAGGTGGGTCACTGGGAGAATTGCCCAGAATGGTTCATCTTTGCTACAGACACTTCCCCTGTCCTCTTTGTCTCCTGACGTACATGGATGAGTCATGGTCCTCTGCCATGCCCTCTGTCATGATGTTCTGTCTCTCCTTGGGCCCAGAGCAATGTAGTCAGTACACCATGGATTAAAAATCTCTAAAACTGTGAGCCAAAATAAACTTTTCCTCTTCTAGGTTGTTCTTGTTGGGTATTTTGGTCACAGAGAAGAAAAGCTACCTTACACAAAATAATCTTGTTTGTGAAGTTCCAAATATAGGAAAAGAAAATTTATAATACTTAGACCCCTATTATTTCTTTATTATAATATTCAGATATTTTACTGCTAATTAAAGCAAAATATCTTCCTACACAACCCAAGTTTACATTATTTCAGCTATTTTAAAATAAATATTGTAGACATTACTGTGTATATTTGTTTCCCAAATATCTATAATGTAGGTAGAATTTTCCTTTCTATTTTCAATACCAAGCCAAATATATTTAACTTAAATGCATCTTTAGAGTAACTAAATAGTTATTGTCACTTTTCCTGGATGACTTTTCTAATGAGAAGTCATCTTTAAATGAGAAAATTAAGTATGCGTGACACATAAGATGGCAGAAACCCATTAAAATTACATATATTGGAAAATTTTCCCATTACTTCCCAAAGTCTCAAATACAATATTAATAGGATTTTAATTCTTGGGAATTTATAAATGGTAAATTTCGAAACTCTGAAGTTCTCATATTTCTTTTCATGCAGTTGTTTGCTTTTACTTTTAATTAAACATCTAGGCAATTAGGTATTACCGACATGCTAAAATCTCCTTCTAAAATCTTGCAAGCGAGGCTCATATTGACACATTCTGATATTTCTTCTTAAATAGACACCTTTCCAAAGACCGAACTTTAAAATTTTTAACTGCCCTTTCTTAAATTACATTTCTAAAAAAAAAAAAAAAAAAGCATGTTTAAATTGATTTTAAAAATTCTTTGCTTTCAAAGAGAGAAAAAAAGTAGCAGAATACATTATGGATACATTTCATTTACTCCATAGAAACTGAAAACAGCCAATTAATTGGTTAATGTCTTAATGTGAGAGGGAAAACATACAGAAGTCATTAACTCTACCATAAAATGAGATAGCCAGGGCCTCTGTTCCTGAGGTAAGCTGGCTCCTCAGAATGAGGAATGCCAACCTAGCTGTGTAAAACAGGGATCTGAGTCCAGTGGAGTTTGGGAAATACCTGTTCAGCACAGTTAAATAGGTAGTGAAGGACTTTTCAGAATATTTAATATGCTAATGTCTATTGTAAATCACGTCATGTGTTATAATAGGCAGAATTTTCCAGACAGAACTATTTAAAAATAAAGTCTTTGCACCCTTTCTTTGAGGGAAATGGGGAGTATATGTCTGGGCCATTGGCCAATATACCTGTATAAATACAATTAGGTCTTGATATACTTTTTTTTTTTCTTACACATAGTCCTACATAGCTTTTAGTGATACTTTACCTTACTTAGAAATTTATGTTTCTCTTTCACATTTGGTGTTGTTCCAATGGACATTTTTTTTTTTTTTTTTTAGTATTTGTCTTTTTTATTTTTCTTTTTTTTATTGGTTGTTCAAAACATTACAAAGCTCTTGACATATCAATTTGTCATTTTCAGAAAGAAAGAAGTACCAACCTGAATGCTTCAAGGTACTCAACATCTCCCATGGGGGGATCAAGGCCACCTGTCCAGGCAATATTTATATTGTAGCCTTCTCCAAGGCCTGTCCCAACCTGGGAAGAGAAAAACACCAGAGTAGGTAGAGAAGAGGGCAAAGGGAAGAAAGCAAACAGAGAGGAAAAACAAGCACATGGGACCTCTTGAAATAAACATCAAACAATGTGTCAAATCAGCCCAGCCTGGCTTGACAACCAGTGCTCTGGGTTCTGCACTTGTTCTGCACTGGATCTTAGTCCTGTGGGACAATTCAGTAATCTCATGTAATTTAAAACACCAGCAAAGGACAAGAAAATTAGGGGTAATCATGCAATGTAATTACCTGAAAGATACAAATAAAAGTGGGGCTCTAAAGAAATAAACCGAACCTCATTTGGGGCTCCACTGCCAGGGAAAAAGTTCCCTTCATCATAGCGATGGAGTGAAATGTACAGGATGCTGGGGTCAGCATAAAAGGCCTGCTGTGTACCGTTTCCATGGTGAACATCCTACAGGGAAAAGAAAACAGATGACACATACAGTCATGTCTAACTCTGTATGGAGACAACCTTTCTGATTTCTAGTTCCCTGTCTTCCTACCCCACCCTCCTTCTCATTTTCTGTCTTCTCACTGTGTCCCTCTCTTTCTTTCTTCCATTCAGCCTGTTTCCACACCACCCCCTTTACTTCCTGAACTTTCAGGCAAATTACCCTTTAATGCACTCATTTTTTAAACTGGCTTCTAAAAATCAGGAAACCACAGCGAGCATGCCCTGGAGACTCCAGATGAGCAGTCATTGAAAAAGCCCAGTCCTTTGGTACAATTAGATATTTATACACCGGCCCTTTGTACTCTTTGCTTCAGTGATGGAATCTCGCATCCTGTTTTATGGAGGAATTTTATGACTTATTAACTGCCAACAGTTCATAACCCCTCAGGCTTAATTAACTGGCCTCATTGGCCCCTGAAAAAAAAGACTAATGTTTAAACTACAAACTAGTATTTTGCAGAAGGATCTATGGCTTACAGAGCATTTTCGCAATTCTTGACAGAACACTAAACATACGTGTATGCAGTGTATGCATTGATTTGCCAAGTCCCACCATTAAGGTCAAAGGCTTTGCAACCAGCTGAATAAATTGGCTTTCTTGAAGCATTCAGTTCGGTTAGCAATCCCTCAGCAGTTAGAATCACTTCAAAAGAGGTGCCAGATGCAAAAAGGACTTCATACTTCATTTTGGTAAAATTGTGACGGCAAGAGTCAAAAGCACAGGGAGTATGAGCTCATTAGCTCTTAAATCATTTGGGCTGAAGCAGAAAGATGGGATGGGGCTTTGTGCAATCTTGTCTAATCTGCTTAATTTTAATATTATATCATGGCTCTCTTCCCAGCTTTCCTCCTGATCTTTTTTTTTTTTCTTTTCTGTTTCCACACTACTCCCCCTTCCAAACTAAAAAAATAAAAACAAAAGCCTGTTTCATTAAAATGAATGAAACATTCTTCAGATATTTGCATATGATAATGGCTCCAAACTTGATAGTTCTTTTTTGTTGTTGTTGTTTTAATATAAACAGGTTCAGAATTAATATAAGAATGCAAAATAAAACATAGCATTTTTTAAAAAAGGGTCTTTAATGTCTTTACAGGTATTAAGAACTACAGTTAAATGCTTACTATCTTTGGAACAAAAATAAAATGGAACACTCTTAAATGTTGATAATCTATACAATAAGGTTTCAGGCAAATATTATTGCTATGTTATTAACTTATAAAGTATATAATTTCTGGTTCTGTTATAAAAGTTTTGATAACTTGCAACTACATGTTTTACATTAGTAAGAATCACACTATTTTTAAAAAATAATTCAAATAATTTTCAAGTTAGGCACTCTACTAAATACGTTGCATGAATTATTTATTGATTATTATGGTGTATGTGATATTAGCCCTAATTTTAAGAATAAGAAAAATGACAGAGAGTTTCAGTAATTTACTAAGACGATATAGAGAGTAAGCTGGAAAACTAGGTCTTGAATTCATTTCTTACTCTAAATGAAAAATTCTTAATTATCACAGTTAAATTCAGATCCATTATCTCTTTGGTCCTCTTAGCAAATTTGAAAGGTGAAGTCATTGGACATTATTTCTCATTATTGAGATTTATTTAACTTGTCTCCACTCCATCCTCTAGCCTGGAACTGCTTCACTAGACACTACCAAAGCCTCCTTTTGGTATTTTCTGAAAACCTACACTAAGCCTGTTGTCCATGCAGTAGACATACAATGATTCTTTCCACCTTTTGTATAGCATGCCTACCCCAAATTAACTAAGAAATCATAACATTAGGGAAGATATGGATCATCTCAGAAACTTATTTCAGCTAAAGACACATACATCAGGGGGAAAACGTAACTTACTGAAAATATATTAATTCCTGGATTTCTAAATATTCAAAGAAAAGGAAGAGATAGCAAAATTATTTCCTTCATGGGAACAAAAATGAAACAATTTAACCCACAACGACTTTTGTATTTGCTACTAAATATCTAGAGAATGGACCAAAAAAACCTTAAAAAATAAGTGAAAAGATGTTTCCATTTCCTTAATACAACAATAATATTTAGGGTTGTAAATGTATATGCAATTGGCAAATCAGAAAAATATTGCTTTGATTGCTCTTGTTTCTCTAGGAACATTGAACAAATTTATTTTTAAAAGGTCAAATAAAATGATAATTTGAGATATAAAATTATTTTTTCTTGAAAAATATTTGGGTACTTATTAGTCCATACTCTTCTAAAGAAATACAATCTTGTTCACAGTATAATAAAGGTTTGAACTAACATTCTTCATTGAAATACACAGACCCATTCTACTGTTTGAGAAATCCATGATTCTGTATCATAGTCATTAAGTATTTAGAGAATAAAGTTAAATCCAAGTATGTTTTTTGTTTTGCGTAACAACTTACAGTATAACTTTTAAGATGTCTTTATTTTTTCAGTTTTTCAGTTTTTATTGCTATAAAGTATTCATAAAAACCACATGCATACATATACTCAAAATAATCTGAGACCTGTTTCTTCATAACAACAAATATATACTATATATAGACTAAGGTAGGAAAATTATTGGTGCTTCTGAAAAATTATTATATAAATGAAATAAATTGAATCATTAAAAGCCTTAAAATAAACCATGCCTCTCAGATCTGCTGGGAAATGCAAAAACTTATCTCTGGTTAAAAAAGTATACTGTAAAAATGGATTCTGCATAAGAAGTTAGAACCAATATGTTTTCAATTTTATGTCAAAATAACTTTGAATACATCATATATTCTACCAGCTAATGTTATCACTCAAAATTATTTAGTACAAGGACTTGTGACAAAGGTCTAAATGTACTTGAACAAAAAAGGAATTTCCCCAATCTAAGTACATTTGTAGTAGCTATTCTTTCAAAAAAAAAGAAGAAGAAGAAGAAGAAAATCTAATAAGTACTATTTTCTAATTAAAAGTCACATTGCCCAAAAGCTACATGAGTCGTGCAGACAAATCTACCTCTAGGATATAGCCTGAACACAATGGCCGGTCTCGAGTGTGTTAAAAGACTGTTACACCTGCTCCCTCTCCACAGAGTGAATGTTTTTAGGCTCTAAGGAGAAATGGAATGAATGACCTTCACCCACCAACTAGAATCATATCTTCCCACAATGCTCAATGCATTTGAATTTGGCTGTGACCCAAGATAGGAAGTGAATTAAGAACTCTGGTTCTATATTTACTAGGCACATGAAAAGCCCCAGACTAGCTGTTGTACAATGGAGTAGCTCCACTTTTTGTTGGCCCTAGAATGTGTGGAGCTAGTTTACACCCACCAGCCAACGTTAATGACTCTGGATGTGCAGGAATGAGGCTTTTCCACCACTGGAGAACCTTCACCCTGTCTCCTTTGCAAACTCACAGAATAGACCTGTCAGCCAGAGAGAACGGATGTCTCAGAGCCACGTGGCACTTTAAAACTTCCTTCTCCACAGCTGGAAGAAACAGGAATTTCCTCAAAGTAGCCCTGCAGCTGCAGAATTTGGAAGACTTGAAAGTAAGAATATGGGGGCTGGTGGTGAGCTCAGAGGCAACCCTTTGGACAGAACTTCATACATTTAGAGAATTTGAAACAAAAACTTCTCGTCTGATACAGCCTATTGGGAAATCAGCATCCTTTATGATTGGATAATGGAGCAAATTCATAATCAAAGGCCAGCAAGCTCACAGGAAACTACTTGGAGCTACCAAATAAATTATTTTATAAATTGTATCAGATTATCTCCAGAAGTCTTTTATTCCTGTGTTAATGTACAAAAACAAAACTTTACATGTAAATCCTCTGAAGTACAAAATATCCATCTATCATAAGATAGGCATTTAGATTACAATCCATTGTTTTTGAATGGATATCACAAATGTGCTTTCAAAAGGGACCCTAAACATTTATTATCTTCATAGAACCATAAAATGATAACAAAAATTTTTCAGAAAGTAATCACTGAAAGACTCTTAAGAATAGGATGAATAGCTGACCAATTATCTTGCCACATAATGTGGACAAATTTAGAAAGCTCAGCAATTTTATTTATTTTTCTTTTTGCACAATCTTTGGTCTTCATCTACTATCCTCTTTTTCCATTTCTGGTCTATCTTTCTAGCATAGAATTTACAGTACCAAGAGCATACTAATTTCTTCAAATGTAATATCCTATAATTCATACAAAATTAGTCATAAATTACTTAAAATGTCCTTTTTGTATGAATATGGTATGTCTTTATTTTTGCAAAAATTTTAAGACCTTGCTGCTGTAGTATATCTAGGTCTTCAGCACATTTTTTAATGGGGAACTGTGACCTACACTAAAACGTATGCATGTTTGGAAAATGCATGGAAAGCTAGGCTTCAATATTCTTTGCACAAAACTGTACACAGGAGGGATACAATAGTGAGTGTGAAAAACATCCATTCCAACCAAGCACTAGAAATGGTTATCTATCTTCCATTCCTTTTATCTTCATTTTAACTTAACTAAGTATTTCTTCACATGGCTTTGTTTGTGCTCTCTCAACCCTTTGGTGTGCCTGTTTAACTAAATCAGAGGGCTGGAGGGTGAGGCCACGACTTCCAATAAGATTTAATTATGAGTGCAGATATGAACAAGATTTAGACTATTAAGCCTTGCACTTCAAAAAAAACCTTTAACATATTTTGCCTTTAAATCTTTTATCACCTGCAAAAATTAATTAAGTGCAGATGTAGCAGGTTCGGTTTGGATGCCAGGGTTCATTTCCTGTCTATGCCTTGTCAGACAACCTATTACACCTCCTCGTGAACTGGAGGCAAACCGAAAACGGGGCTCATAAATCACCATTCAGCCTTCTTTCGCCCTTTCCTGGATTGGTCCTTTTTTGTATGGGGCAGATCTCCAGCTCATTATTCATGAATATACTTTAGACAACATGCCAAGTGTCATCTGCATTTAAACAAACCATTTGTTAAACAAATTATAACTATTGTGTAAGAATGCATCAGGTTGAAATGCAAGACTAAGTTAATGCCTCTGACTTTTAATCATTCAGAGTTCCTGCAGGGAGTCATCTCAAACTGGCATCTGAGATCCGAGATCTTTTCAGAAAAAATGACATGCTGACTTGTTTTAATAATACCACTGTTGCACAACAAGCGACAATGATTGCTAACCAGGGGAAGTGGCCAATTGGTTACCAAAGCAACAGCATTCTTTCCAGCACATCTGACTATTTAAAGTCTATATTCTGTAGGGAAAAGTAAATTCAGGTTCTGTTGGGTTATTTTAACTGTGGAAGTATCAATTCATTTAAGGATCATAAAAGTTGCCCTGATCTGCGCCTTCTTCTCATTAAATTGCAGTTAACACCATGAAAGTGAAACGTGAATGTTTATGGTTTCAGAACTGCAATCCTGAATTTAATGAGTTTCCACATTCAAAGGAAACACACCCTTCAGTTGTTTGCAAGTGCTAAAAGCAAGACAACCTAACAGAGAAATACAAATCCACTTCCTTTTATCTAGAGTTGCTGGAAACACAGCACTGGCCAGGAATACATACCAGATCTACAATCAATATCTTGCTTATATTTAGTTGGTCTCTCAAATATTTGGCGGTAATTGCAACTGAATTAAAAAAGCAGAACCCCCTGTGGAATAGAGAAGAACAGAGAAATAAGAAAGCAAATCATCCAGGAAAACCATTATAAATAATGTTCAGAGCATTTTTTAAAATGCTATATGATCTCTGAAGCCATAAATCTGCTGCTGGGAGTACCTCGCAAGATTTTTCAGTCCATCTGCTAACAATTAGAGGCTTCAGAAACATGCATGGGGCAGGTGACCGCCAGGAACTGTGGCGCTTGGAGATGGGCAACAGTTCCTGGTACTTACATGGCTGCAGATTCTTCAGCGTGATGGCCTGGGGGCCTCACAACAGCAAACCCATTCTGTAAGAATAAGACAGGTTTTCAGTAGCCAGATATGAGGGGCTTGCTTGGATCTCTACACCCTACAGAACATTAGGTACACACTTAAAATACTGACTCTTAGATGCTCCTGATCTTGTTTTCTTGCCCCTATTACCATATTGCAGAATGGATAGAAACAATACATATGATCACACTTTCTCAGATCATGTCTCAAAAAGAAGGCTCCCACAGAGCCAGGGGAAGAACAGAAACTTGGGAGCTATACCTAGCTGGCAGACATGCATGTCAGCTATTATATTTGCATGATTCATTTTCAAGAACAACTTCTTTCATGACATCAACATCCTACAAAGGGAGAAGAAATTCACTCTTGGTGCAACTTTAGGTCAACGTTTGGAAAGACCTGAGAAGATCCAAAGTGAAAAATTTTTAGCTAGATTCCCTCAATGATTATTTCCACTTCGATGTCAGCAAAATGATAAATTTACACTCACACACTCACATAGACATAAAAGAAACCTCACAAAGGTGAAAAAGAGAACAATGGAAAGCCCATATTTCTTCCAGTCTATAAATTTAGCTTGGATGACTGCCAAGACTTGCAACTTTATTGGATTCCCTAAGTCAATTTCTAGCCCAAGTTCTGGAATTTTATAAAGAATTCCAGGGCTGAGTAGCAATCGGATCTATCCATGATCAAGGAATGCCTTAACCTACAGATTAGTTGGAATGCATCACGGGAAGCTGAAGTAACTCCAGCATGAAGGCAGGGAACTATAAATCCTTGCAAAGCCAGTGTGCTCAGAAAACTTGGTTGTCTGTTGTGAAAAATAATCATTCATCACATGGTTCACAACACCTTTCACTTAACTATGACTTAAGTAACATGCTAAAAAGAGAATATTTCTTTAATACATAATCTTTAAACTTTTGAAATAATTTTAATATACCCAAGGGATTTTTTCCCCCAATTTTTAACTGTAAACATGAAAGTATTGAGAAAACCATCTATGCCCTAGGTCTTTAAATATACATACAATTTTTCGTTACAGTGATTAACAATAAGTTGATTTGCTATATATTTTGGTGTGTGTATATAATGACAATCTCAGAAGCAAATTAGGAATTGCTATGCTTGAATCTGTGTCCTAAAAGTTATGCACTGGGAACTGATCCCTAGTGTAACTGTATTAAGAGGTAAATTGGTCTTGAGGGCTCTGTACTCATGTGGGAGTGCATTAGTTAGTGAAGTATTGGGTTCCTGATGAAAAGAATGAATTTGGCCAGAATTTCCTGTATCTTACGTGTGTTGCTTCTCTTTTGCCATGTTATGACTAAGTATGAAAAGACATTACAAGATGCTGATGCTGGGCTCTGAGGCTTCCTAGCCTCCAGAACAGTAAGTCAAATAAACTTCTATTGTTTATCCATTACCCTATCTGTGTTATTTTGTTATAGTAGCAGATAATGGACTAAGACATAAGATAACAAGCTGATTGGAAATCTTGTGAGGCAAGATTACAAGTTTGAGGCCAGCCTCAGAAACTAGCAAGACCTGTTTCAAAATAAAAAGGACTAGGGTGTATGTAGTACAGAGGTACAGAATATGAGAGAGAGAGAGAGAGAGAGAGAGAAGGAAAGAATGAAGGAAGAAAGGAAGGAAGGGAAGAAGGGAGGGATGTACGAATAAATGACTCCTGGAATGGTAACAAAACAGTCCTTTCTTTTTCTTAAGAACTCTCTCTGGCAAAAATACATTAATATGAAAGAAATATGAAAGTTAAAGAACTATACAAAACAAGACTGATTTTTTTTAAAAAATTCCCTATTTTCTTCTTAATCTTTTAATTTTTTATCTTTACTGGTGCATCATAGTTTTGTATAATGGTGGGATTTGCTGTGACATATTTCCTGTATCTGACATGTGTGGCTAATCTTAAGTACATGTGCATAATATAACAATATCATTTGGCCCATATCTCTCTCCAGTGTTTCCACCCTCCTCCCCACTTCATAGCTTTCCTCTGATCTTCCTTTGCTTTTCATGTGATCACCCCCTTCCTTTCTTTTTGTTCTTGTTCTCTAGCTTCCACATATGAGAGAAAACATACAACCCTTGACCTTTTGAGTTTGGCTAATTTCACTTAAATAATGACCTCAAGTTTTATCCATTTTCCTGCAAATGATATAGTTTCAATTATCTTTGTGGATGAATAAATATAAATAATAAATATCCATTGTGTATATATACCACACTTTTAAAATTTTTGGTACTTTAGCTCTTTTTATGTTTTATTTTGAGACAAGGTCTCACTAAGTTGTTTAGGGCCTCTCTAAGTTGCTGAGGCTGGCTTTGAACTTGTGATCCTCCTGCCTCAGCCTCCCTAGCCACTGGGATTACAGGCATATGCCACTGCATCTGACCCATACTTATTTATCCACTCATCCATTGATGGACACCTAGGCTGGTTCCATAGTTTGGCTACCTACCGTGAATTGTGCTGCTGTAAACATGGGTATGCATGAATCACCATACTATGACAACTTTCTTAAGGTAAATACAGAGGATTTGCATAGCTGGGTCATATAGTGGTTCTCATGCCTAGTCAAAATTAAAATTTTAAGATTCTAGGGTGAGACTATGCAGTGCTATTATAGATCTGTTGAGAATGGAGAATTCTGTAAAGATTATGATAGACGCAATTTAAATCACTGGAAAACAATAGGATGAAAACAAAAACAAATATAAGGCATGAGAAACATAATTAGCACGTAAAAATCTTAAATCAACAATATGAAAAATCTTTTACAAATGAATTTAAAATATTACATTCTTATGGGTAAAGGGCAAAGAAGAAAACATCCAGTTGTCAAAGATTATAAGAAAAAATATTCAACTTAACAAGTAATCCAATAAATACAGATGAAAACCTGAATGAAAAGCCATTGTTTTCTACCCAGAATATTCAATATTCTAATTGAATATCAGAAAATTCTCTCTGCTGACAAGAGTTATAGCTTATCCACTCACATTCTTGCTGGAAAATAATCCACCTGATATATCTGGAACCTTTAGAAAAACAATCCTATCCCTTGATTTGATGCTTATAGGATTTTTGCCTTCATGGTATTATTAACTATGTATACAAGTATTTATGTAAAATTTCATGTCTAATTTATAATTAAATATTGTGAATTATCTATATTAGCTAATATTAATAGAATGGTTAGTAAATTATGACACATTTATACCAAGGAATATTAGATAGTCATTAAAACTTTGTTAGCTGAACACACTGGCACACGCCTCTAATCCCAGCAGCTCAGAAGGCTAAAGCAGGAGGATTGAAAGTTCAAAGCTAGCCTCAGCAACTTGGTGAAACCCTGTCTCAAAATAAAAAAATAAAAAGGGCTAGGGATGTGGCTCAATGGTCAATTACCCCTGGGTTCAATCCCTGGTACCTCCCCCCCAAAAAAAAAAAAAACGTTTGTTATAAATATTCAGTGAAACAGAAAGGACTTTGCAACATTAATTCAAAAAGTATTAGGGTCAGCAATATACACAATGATATCTCTGAAGCTAAGGTAATAGATGTGATTTTATTTTTCGTGATGATTTCATATATTTTCCAAATGGTTTTACAAAAATTATGTGTTATTTCAAAGAGAAAACTAAAAACCAAAGAGAAACCTGAGAGGTAGATGTTAATGGGTCATACCACAAGAGTTGTATTCACATAGATAGAAATGGATTTTTAAAGGACATTCTGGACAGAGTAAATGCCAGCATTCAAAGAAGAAAGAAGCTTAAGAAAGCATTATGTACAGGAAGTCAATCCAAGTAAAGTTCATGTTGAGAAAAAAATATAAAAATGAAATTACATAGGTCATTAGCTGAGTTATAGAAGAAAAAATGAGAGAGGGAATTTGAACCGCACCCCCACTTTCCCTTTCAGTCATTCCTTGAACAGAAGTCCGCCTTTCACTTACAGTCTTCTGCTGTGACTGCCACCATTCTGCTAAACTACTTCTAAACTGCTTGATTTTAGGTTAAAAATTATCTCCTTCCCAATCTCAATAAACCTTTTCTTAGTCATCAGCAGCTACTCAAATCTTCTATTGTGCCCCTAGGAACATCCAATCCCCTACACCCTCCAGCTATTCTCTGCATGCACCACTTTTCCTAGAAACCTGCTAGGGCCGCCTCTCCTGCAGTCTGCTCACTGTGGTGCTTTTCTCCAAAACCTCCCAGACCAGCTTGCAGTAATAGGCAGAGATGGAGTTCTTCTGTTTCTCACTGTTGCTTTGAGATCATAAAACCCACTTCATCCACTCCCAGAACACATTATTGTAAAACAACAACAAAAGATTAAGTACTCAGGGAAAGAGAAGATAGAACACAATAAGATGACGGAGAGAGTGCTGGCTAAGGCACTGCAGGTCCCTTGTGCCCTGCTGCTCTAGAGGAGATGTTAGTCTCACCACCTGCAGTTTGGATCCCATCCTCTCCTACTCTCATTTATCCACCTTCTTTCATCCACATGTTAAATTTATATTAAAATTTCCCTCCCTATTAAATGGCCTTCACTGCGATTCAAATAGGCTCAGGCTTCTACCATTTTGGAGTATAGACAGATAGATACACACATGCATCCTAAATCTCATCAATTCCACCACTTTCCACACTTCTTTTCTTCTTTTAACAGCCACAATTCTGGTACAGATAATTTATCCTGTTTCATCTCTCCTTCTCCTAATCTCTGCCTCAATCAACCAACTACATCACTAAAGAAGCTCTTACAAGTGTGTCAATGAATCCAATAATTTTACTCTCAATCTACTAGCCCCTCATTAAATTTCAACCCTACTGGCTACTTTTTCATTTATTAAAGATTATTCCTGTGGCTTCTTGATTTCACTCTCTCTTACTTTTCTTACCTCTCTTTTTACTTCCTAATAAGTCTTCTATTCATCAGTTATTGATGTTATTCAAGGCCACATCTTAGGTTTCTACAATT